CCCCTTGTACGGGGCAAACAATCAAGGCCAAACTGACTAGTTTTTGAATAAATTGAAACTGAACTTTTTAAATTGAATGTTTACGCTGACTAGGCCTAAACACTTTTTTAAAATCTTGAAACTACTGTAAATAAGTAAAAATGCGTTTTGTCGGCGTTCGGTTAAGCACTAGTTTGTACCATGAATGAACCAATTGATGGACGCAAGGGAAAAAACCAGAGGTGTCAGTGTTTGGCTAATGTAATTTTTGACGTGGGTTGGAAATTGTTTACGTACCTCTACAGGCACATCTAAGTTCCCAGGGCTAAAACCTGCTGATGTGCCCAATTTCAGGCTTGGAAAATAAGTTATACTATGGAAAAACATGGGCTGTCGAGCACTTCATAGTTGTTTCCCCCAAAATGTCAAAAGGGACATCCCTTGTTTTTTCCCCTTGTGCTCTTTATTTTGGTACTAGATTTCATGTTTTCCTTCCGTATTCCTAGTTATCAGAGTGGGTGGTTGGCGGGTGTCCTGGTGTAGTTTGCTACTTCTTTCCAGTCAAACAGCTATGTATCTTATTCTCTACTCCTTCTCTTCTTTATGTGTTACTCTTGACTGACGTATCCTCCGCTACAATGATGTGTCAAGACTCATAAACATTTTCATCTTTATACCTGTCTTTGTCGCTCGTCTCCGAAGCGGAAAGTCCGGGTTCGAGCCTTCGTTTGGGACACAGATGTTTTCGCCCCCTCCTGCCCACCCAGCAGTAATGGATGCCTGACTTCGAGTTGGAGAAGTAAAGGCGGCATGGAAAGGGACTGGCCACCCTTCCACAATATGCCGAAGGCACAGGAAGTTGTCTCACTAACAAAGCAATCCCCAATGTCTTGATCGGATGCAGGAACATTTTTTTACCTGTCTTTGGGTCTGGCTCAACACATTCCAGTGTATTCTAAAAATGCATTTAAAGAGAACAACCTTTCACCTGGTTTTGTTTTGAATTGTTTTGTTGGGGGGG